CAATTTTTTTTCCCTTTTTAATTCCTAATTGCTGCTACTTATGTTGTCATACTATATTATTTAGTTTTTTTGCAGTCAGAAATAAAAGAACTCCTAAGGAAAAATGTACTGTGGAACAGTACAGACAGCTCAACTTCATAGGAGTTTAGTGTTTGTTGAAGATTTTGGAATGGCAAAACTGAGAGCTTACTCTTTGCCCTTGTCAACAGATAGCCAAACACATCTGTAGGTGCAAAGGCCACAGGGCCTATTAGACAAGATTTCTGGATTTCACTGTTGCTTCTACCACTTGATCTTGCCCTTATTTTTTTAGAAATAAATAAAACTTCAAACTTGTGCTTCTGGGTTTTTAATAAGGAGGTCATTTTTTTGTGAGTTTATTAGAACATGGTAAGTCTACCTTTGTCTGCATTCAGCCAACATTTATTTGAAACACCTCTTAGCGGCCAGATAGTATGCTTCACTAGTGTTAAATGTTATGAAATTTTTTTAAGGCAGTGTTAGTATCATAAAACTCCTCTGACATTTAACATCCTCTAATCAATTTTTTTACTCTCCAGACCTGTGTGTGTGTATGCACGTGCGCGTTTGCTTACACAAGAGTCTGTTTAGACACGTGGTCCTGAGTACAGACTCTTTAACTCCAGTGAGATGACATTCTTTATTTTTTTATCTTAAAACTTTTCTTTCAGAAATAAGCCTATCAAGGACACATCTTCAAAATTTTTTTTCTAAGAGTTAATAGCTAGAGAGAGGTTAGGAATTTACATAAAGCACTCACTATTTCGGCTTCTAGTTGCAATATAGTCTGTTTTAGCTGGCAATTTGCCATGAAAATATTTTCTTTTTTTGAACCTTGCCGTTTCTGCATTTCGGCTGCTTGGATTTGCATCACAGCTTTGCCACCATCTGACTGTAAGGAGGTTATCTACGTTCTCCAGTCCTCAGTTGCCTCATCTGCATAATGACGATAACAATAATACGTACCTACCTCATATGGTGGTGTGAGGGATTATGAAGTGTATTTTTTTTCAAATTATGTGTTCATTGTTCAGTCTTTCGTTTTGCTACTACACAGGGTTAATTTTTTTAGATCATCTGTTTTGACCCTACTTCTAGGCCCCTGGAAATCCAGCTCTTCTAGTTTTTTTGATAAATCAAATATATACAATGTACTGGCCCTTTATGAAGTGGAATCTTAATTGTGAACTTTTCTTTGCTTTCTAATTTTAAACCCCTTTGTAAGCATCTGATTTATTTATTCTTGAAAAGAATTAAAGACAAATTAAGCACGTGTCATATGCTGGTGACATTATTGAAATAAACTTTGCTCCTTTAATTTTTTAACAGTGGGGACTTGTCCATGCCCTTTAAGGCATTAGATAACGTAAGGTAGAAAAAAAATTAACCAACTTAAAAAACAAAATGTTTCCCTGACTCTGCACAAAGTATTTGCCTGGGAATTAACATGACATAGGTCCTCATGACATCTCTGAAATACAGCTTTTTTTTTATTTTGAACTATTCATCTGCTAATGGATCTTGTCTCTCTGGCTATGAGCTTTTTTTTTAAAATAATTTTGAAATCTCAAGTAATGTGACAAGATTCTAATCACAGAATCCCTTTTTTTCTTAAATTTAAAAAAAAGGAAAAAGTTGCAATGTTATTCATGTTCTTGAGTCTTTTTTTTAAAGTGGCAGTTTTAAGTACACTCACATAGATGCAGAGAAAGAGAGAGAAGAGTTTTTTTATATATTTTTCTCCCAAAAAAAATCACTTAATCATGAAATTATGAGACCTGAGTTTTTTTTAGGATTGGACTCATCATCTTCATTACTTCACATCTATCTTGTTGTTGAAAATGCCCTAGTTAGTTCAGCATTTGTGCATGCAATTCCCTTAAAATAAGTACAAATAACTTTTTTTTTTTTATAATTATTACATCCTTTGCTCCCCTGGGTAAGCTAAATGCTCCTGAGGAACTTTTTTTATGCCGTCTATGTTTGTGGATCTTTCTATGATCTCGAAGATAGACATTTGTTGTTTTTTTACTAGAATATAAAGATGAAAAGAAAGGTATGTGTACCAGAAAGTGTTTTTGATTTTTTTTAAGGTATTTATAAGCAATGCATAAATGGAATATAAAATAAGCCACAAGTGAAATTTTTTTTGAGAAAGTATAAAGATTGGTTGATAGAGATATGGGGGTGGGGGGGATGGCAAGGGAGGGGAGAATAAAAATAACTGCACCGAGAACAGAAGGAGTTAAGGAGTTTTACAAAATTTTTTTACAAAAACATAGCCATTTGAATATACATCCAAAAAAATAATAGTCAAAAAATATTTTTTTAACGCATGCAAGGAAAAGAATCGTTTCATGTAGTCACCTGGTTGATTGAAAATTTTAAGCAAAACTATTTACATAACATGCTGCGTTTTACAGCAGGGCAAGAGATCATTTGCTTTTTTTGAGCACAAAATGAGTTTTGTGTACTTATTTAACCTTGCTTCAGAAGATCACTTTTTTTTTAGAAAAATATGGGACAAAAAAAGGAAATAAAGTTTTAATACTACAGATATTATTTTTTTTTGTTTATGAAGACGATTTTATGCAATGCATAAAATTTTGCTTTAAAATCATCATTTTTTTGCTTTGTATTTTATTGTTCAAGGGTCAGTATAATTCCTGAGAAAACCTATAATTTTTTTTTTTAAATAAATATAGCATATACAGTGGCTAAAACTGCAAGCTCCTAAGCCTACATGTCGTGGCCTATTATAAGAAACACATCACTTTGGTGAATCTTTCCTACACGTGAAAAAATTAAATAAAGTCATCTAAAACGCACAGCAGTGTAAGTGAGTACATGTGGCCTAAAGACTTTTTTTTATATAAATGTTAAAGCAGAAGGAACAAAATACTAAATCCTTTAAATGGAACTTTTTTTTTAGAACTTTATGAACCTGAAGAAACAGCACGCGGACTTCCTTTTCGGAATAGCATTTTTTTGGTGTTTCTGCCCTTCTCAAAAATCTCATTACAAAAATAAGGATATGAAGCAATTTTTTTACTGATTTACGCTTGTCAAAACTAGAAGACATCTGTAACTCCAAGTCACAGAATTTTTTTAAGTAGTAAAATGACTCGGAACAGACAAGGTGAAACTCAAGGACCTGCCAAGGTTTTTTTAATGGAAAGCAATCGAAGATCATTCACCCTGCAAAATTCTGGAAAGGCTTTTGTTTTTTTATAATCAGCACAGTTACTGTTGAAGGAGGGGGTGGATGGGTACATTGAAAGTGTCTGTAAGGAAGGGTTAGACCCTCAGCCCTCTGTCTCCATAACTGCCTCTACCCCCGAACCCTGTGAAAGACGTAAAGTATATGCTGTGGGGGAACCTGCATCATTGAGGCTCTGGATTGGATATGCCAGGTAGAGAACAGCATCTCTCTGTTCGGGGAAATAGGAGATTTCAAATAGGATTTTTTTCTGAGAAAATAATGAACTCCTCCCGAGAAAAAAATATACAAGAATTATCTGGGTTTTTTTGTGTATGCCGGTAGTCCCAGGTCCTCAGAGGCTGACGTCGGAGGATCGCTTGAGCCCAGGAGGTTGAGACTGCAGTGAGCTGTGAATGTGCCTTTGCACTCTAGCCTGGACAACAGAGTGAGACCCTGTCTCCGGAAAAAAAAAAATACATATTCATAATTGAGAGACTCCCCTTTTTTTAAAATGAGCCAGTTGACTACTTATTTAGCTTACAATTTCATTATTTAATTCTCTTTTTTTGTATTATTTATGATAATTAATGCTATATGATGCATTGATAACTAACCCTGAAATTTTTTTGCTTAACACAATAGAGGTTATTGTGTGACTCACATGAAATCCAATATGGTGGGCAGCTCTCATGTTAATCTTGTAGTTATGCCTTTTGGAGCATGTGGCCATCAGGGTCCTCATGGCAGGGGCTGGGATAGAAGGGGGAACTCTCAGGTTCAACTGTCTCATTCCAGAAGTGATTTTTTTAGAATCCATTGTTTAGAACTTTCACAGGGGAGAAGTAGGGAAGTACATGGAATTTTTTTTGGACACTTACTTCTCTGCAACTTTGTGTAAATTCATGTCCAGGTTCTTGCAGGACACTTCACTTTCTTCCCATGTGTCAGCCATAGGGTTTATGGTTTATTTCATTGAACAATAAAATTCATTTTAAATGTAAGAGCTAGCACCTGTTACCCGCCTAAGATGTGTGGCCTTGTGACAGAACTGAGAATACAGAGATGCTTATAATATATATGCAGTCTCTAGTCTTAAGGTTTTTTTTTCATTTAACTTTTTATTTTATGTTGGCTTTGAAATAATTTTCAGATCATTCTCTTTTTTTTTTCACAGGTGGGTGTAAGTGATCAGCTAATTAAAGACTATGTAATAAGTTACTGACTTATGATCAACAGGATCTTGTGTCCCTGAAGCAAATGTTTAATTTCAGATATTTCTTCCAAATCTTGAGAACCACTCCTCCTTCCCTTTTAACTGAAATAATTGCCGAGAACTCTTTTTTTTTTTATAATGGCAACATTTGAGAATCTCTAATATGCTCCATAGATAAGTAACTGTATTTTTTTCTATTTCTCAGTATTACCTCATGGTTTATTTCTGATGCTCACTGAAGCAGGTTTTTTTTTTAATATTAATATGAAATAGTCTATAGAAAGTTTCATAGCATATCAGTTGAAAGTTTTTTTCCAGGAAGAATTTGTGTATCTGAATCAGTCTTGCAAATGCATCTCATATACTTTTTGAAAGGAAATAATTCTTCTGATTTCAAAAGATACATTTATCTTGGAAACACTATTATTTTTTTTCTTTTTTGACTGTCTAAATCTACAGCTTGAACTGCTTCTTCCAGTGGTGCATCTGATTTTTAGTATGTGGATTCTGAGAGTATTAATCAATTTTTTATAACGTTTGGTTTCCTTATGTTTTCTATTTCAGAGTACCCGAGTGGCCTTGGACCATCTGGAGTCTGTGCCTGAGATTTTTTTCCTACTAGAAGATTTCAAAGACTTCAGAGTAAGAAAGAGTTGGCTTGTCTCTTTTTTTTTTTTATCTGAGTGAGAACACTTGACATCTTCCTGATGTGCAAAGAAAAGTATAGTTTTTTTAGAAGGACTAAAAAACATTGGGGACTTTTAACATACCACCTTATCAGAGTTTATTTTTTTTTGTGAAGTTAGAATTGAAAACAATGCAACTTATATATTAGCACAAGATAGGATTTTTTTTTTACTGTACTACTAGATGCTCAGTTGGGCCCCTAAAGCTTTAACAATAATTTAGAAAAGCCTAAGAATTAAAGGGAGTTACACATTACACTGACAGTAGGTAACTTTTTTGATTAGCAATTTTAATTTGTGAATTATATGGGTACTGTTTCTTTTAGACATATGGTAGTTCCTTTTTTTTCTTTATACTATGACATATGAACTCAAACCCACATAAATTTCACATTTCATATTTTTTTTCCATTTATTGATAGACCTCTAACCACAAAGCATTTCATTATCAAGCCAATTTGTTTTTTTTGTTAATTTACCTTCTGTAATTTTTTAAATTCCTCATAGGGGAGATACTCAAATTTTTTTTCTCTGTTGCCAGTCCTGCTGGACAAGGTCTGGTCCCGAGAATGTCATATATAGCCTTAGGGCTGCAGATGCAATGTAAAATTTTAATGATTTATAATTTATTGACTGTGTATTTTTTTTGCTAACAATGGGAAGGATTTCTTTTTGGCAACCATGTAATCATATTTCACATTTTTTTTTAAATATAACTTATGTTATATTTAGGTTGTGTTTAGATCTGACATATTATTTGATTTTTTTGTGGATAGGAAAATAGCCAGATCATGCCATATTGATTTATTGGAAGCATTGATTTTTTTTGGTTCCCAAGGTCTACACTATCTTAAAATTACCTTGCATTAAGCATCTTTTGGTTTTTTTGTAATTAACATTTTTGAGTGAGATCCAGTTTAGCTGACACATCTACAATGCTATTTTTTTCCAAATTGAACAAAACCAAGTGTTTCAAATATATTTTACTGAGTTTTGATTCTTTTTTTTGATTTGATTATATATTTGCAGTTTAAATATCTATTAAAGAATTATGAAACCAGTTTTTTTAACAATGCAATTTCTGTTTACTCTTAAACAACCCGATGTGTTAGGAGGCAATATTTTTTTTCCATATTCTTTTTGTTTTTTCTCTGTAGCTAACAGAAATTATCCAAGTAAATGAAGGAGAGACAAGAGAAAGTATGGGAAACAGGTGGCCCTCGTCACTGAGAAATAGACATTTTTTTTCAGCATAAAAATATAAAGTGTAACCTCCAGTGACAGATCACTTTTGCCCCAGTTGTCTACAATGAACTGAATGTTCATAAGTACAGTTTAAAAGTTGTATTCTCTACTATTACCAAAAGGCTCATTATTATTATTTTTAATCCTGTGAGCTGGTGATCATCTACAAGTCTAGCTTTTTTTCATACAGACTTCATATATATACATACATATGAAGATGCCTAAATAGTGAAATGTTTTTTTAAAGTCTTTTTCAGAGTTCAGCATTGTACTTTCCAATGTATTAAAATTGAAACTTTTTTTTTGAAAAGGGAAAGGGTTAATTAGCAAGTGTTATGCACACACTGCATGATACTTTTTTTTTGCTAAGTACTTTATGGTACATGTTTCCTAATCTTCAGAGATACGCTATAGATGGGTATTATTTTCGCCCATTTTATAGATGAGGACACTGAAGCTTGGAGCCCATAAACTAGCTGGAGGTGGGATCTAATTCTGTGTAAAACAGCAGAGCCCATCTGCTTCGCCCTGTTGCTTTTTTTTTAATATCCATTCTACATGTACTCTAAAGTCCTCTATGTGATTACAAAGAGCTGTTTTTTTTCAACTTAACAAAAATGACTAGACATGGCCTTAAATGAAATACATAAAGCCTTTTTTTTTTTAGATGTAGATTATATTTATTCAAATCCTTTAAACTTTCTAAAAATCAGTGTGATGTGAACAAGAATACAAAGACCTAAGTTCTGGTCCAAACTCATGCACCAGACAAAAATTTTTTTTTGCCTCAGGAGATATGTCCACATTCATGTGACGAGGCACTTGAACAATATTATTTTTTTTTTCCTATATACGTATTTCTTGATATATAGACCATAGCCTGTGACTTTAAGTGTGAGTACAGACCTTATCCTATTTGGATGGCCTGACTTTATTGTTGTTTAAATGTGGTCATATTTTTTTTGAAAGAATTGTTGGCCGGGCGTGGTGGCTCACGCCTGTCGTCTCAGCACTTTGGGAGGCTGAGGTGGGCGGACCACCTGAGTTCAGGAGTTCAAGACCAGCCTGACCAACATGGCAAAACCCCATCTCTACTAAAAATACAAAATTAGCCAGTTGTGGTGGCACATGCGTGTAATCCCAGATACTCAGGAGGCTGGGGCAGGAAAATTGCTTGAACCCAGGAGGCAGAGGTTGCAGTGAGCTGAGATCACACCATTGCACTCTAGCCTGGGTGACAGAGTGAGACTCTGTCTCAAAAAAAAAAAAAAAAAAAAATGTTTTATCTCTACAATTCCATATTTAAACATTACATTTTTGATTAGGTGGAAAGGGAGTAGCATTGGATTCCAAGTCCAAACTGCCACAAATTGTCCAGCTCTGGGCAAATCATTTTAACTTCCCTGGGCTCTAGTTTTTAGAGGTTTTTGTTTTGTTTTGTTTTTATACTAAGGATGAGAACTGTGGAATTATAATACCCCTTCTAGCTTGAACATTCAGTAAGTTTAAAGTTTCTTGTGACTTTGAGGGATATTAATCCCTATATGTATTTTTTTTTACATACCAAAATCAGTTGTCCTCATTGTTTTTCTAACTTCTCCCTAAATAATAATAGAAATGTCTAAATAATTGTCTAGAGTAACTGTTTGCTGTGTTCCTTCTTCCCACAAGAAATGAAGAGAAAAGAAAGAAAAAAAGGCAGGCCCTGGAAATTTTTATTTTCTTAATTTTTTTTATTACCTGAATCTTTTTCTGTTTATAAAGGCAAAGGAGCTATCCTTAAATTTAAAAATCTACGTGACATAATAGTTAAAAGGTAGGATGTTGTTTATGGACAAGTGAAGTAAAAGGGCTCTAGTTTTATAGGTAGCAATTTTTTAAAACAAGAATATATTGACGCTAAGTACCAATCCAAGGGATAGTACACAGCATCCAAATGTGGCATGTGTCATTAATGACATCTTTGGACAGTACATTGCTGCTGGAACCTTGTTCTAAAGGGTGTCAGTCACTGTAGATGGGCATAGGGACAAGTTGTTAAAAGAATTCAGGTAACCACTGTAGGATGCATTGTATTTTTATGGTTTTATCCACAGTGACAATTTTCTTCTTTTTCTTTTTCTTTCTTTTTTTTTTTTTTTAAGACAGAGCCTTGCTCTTTCACCCAGGCTGGAGTGCAGTAGCACAATCTCACTGCAACCTCTGCCTCCTGGGCTCAAGCGATCCTCCTTCTCCCACCTCAGCCTCCTGAGTAGCTAGGACTATAGGCATGCACCACCACATCTGACTAGTTTTTGTATTTTTTTATAGAGGTGAGGTTTCATCATGTTGCCCAGGCTGGTCTCGAACTCCTGGAGTAGAGCAGTCCTCCCACCTTGGCCTCCTAAAGTGCTGGGATTACAGGTTTGAGGCACTGCATGTAACCTTCTTTCTCTATGGTGGCCTGTGATTCTCCTATATATCTCTAAATTTTTGTAATTATTTATTTTCATTTTTAGCTACATATAGACTCTTTCTTACTCTAATTTCAAGCACCGATTTTCTTTCATCTACCAGTTCAGACCCTTTGCTTTTTTTCCCAGGATTCCTGCAGTTCATCTGAGAGAACTGATGGAAGATACTCTAAATACAGAGTTCGCAGAAATTCTCTTCAGCATCACCAAGATGACATCAAGTACAGAACCAAAAGTTTCAAAGTAACGTTCTTTATATACATTTTTAGTCTTTAAGTAGTATCCATGTTTAAGGCTACCACCTCTTAAGCAGCCTCTGTTTGTGTAAGGGCACTTGTGAAAGAAAATATTTTCCTTGATACATTAAATAGATTTTCAATTCTGTGGAAATAGAGAATAAAAATCCAGAGTTTGTGCTTATCACATTTTGTCTGGGAAGTAAGCCTTAAGTCTATGCCATCACTGCTTGATATGTTACTTGTTCACGGGAACTGGTGCTGCTTAAGAGCCAAGAAACCCCTGGTCACTGTTTGGTCAAAGTCTTAGTGTGATGTTCACCTTCTTCTATGTGTAAGTCTAGCTGCTGTCCAGACTGAAGTCTGCAGTAGGTGAGATAATATATTGTACTTTGGAATTCTAGTCATTTTCTTCTAGAGGGGATATGAACTCCGTATTAATACTTCAGCTTTTGTTTCATTACCATGGAGCCAGCACAGGACACTGGGAAGACTTAACTATATTAACAAAAAGTATACATTCTCTAGAGCCTACCCAGTATCCATCTGGGATCTGGGTGATTTTAAATCCATTTGATCTTGGGCAGCTCTCAGTTTAGAGCAGGGTTTCTCAACCTTGGCATTCTTGATATTTGGGGCCAGTTAATTCATTGTGGTAGAGGCAGTTTTATGCATTGCAGTATATTTAGTTGCATCCCTAAAACGTATGCACTAGATGCCAGTAACATCTCCCATCTCAAGTTGTAACATCCAAAAATGTCTCCTGACATTGTCAAATGTTCCCTGGAGGGCAAAGATGCCCTCTGTTGAGAATGCTGACCCAGAGAGAATCCATCTATATTCAAATGTGCACTCCAAGTCAATTACAAAAAAGCTAAGGGTTTTCTGGCTTTTTTGTGTTCTTACAAACTTGAATATGTATGAATATTCATTACACTGTATATATTCACTTATTATTGTGAAATATAATTATTTCTAAGAAGCATCTTTCCTCCTCTGAATGTAATTGGATAGAATGCTCAGTGGATATAAAGACAGTGTTCATAAGTCCTTCTTAGCATGCTTAAAATGAGCATTATACTTTCTCCCTTCCAAATAAAAATTAACACAATTAGGACAGGTTATTGATACTCTTACTGTGAAGAGAACATCCTGTGACTTTGTTCCCTTTTACCTTTGTTTTTAATAGATCCGTATATTCACTATAGTAGTGACTTTGTCTCGTATGGCAATTTTTAAGTTCTCTAAATCATCTTCTAACATTCCCAGTCAGGTCCTGCAAACTCAAGCATTTCTCCACCATTAAAAGGAGTGCCGCTAATCTATAACAGAAATACAAAGTTTAGGCTACGAGAGCTAATGATTATTGAGCATATTTTAGAACAAACCACAAGACATTTCTCTTTTTGTAGGTGTTACATGCCTTATATACATTATCATATTTAATATTCACGTCAATCCTCTCAGATAAGCATGACTATTTTTCCTTTATACCATTGAAGAAAGCAAGGCTGTAGAGTAACTAAATAGTTGAATCAGGATTAAAACCTAAGTCTGCCTGACTTTAGTAATTTACGTCATTGACCACTGTGCCATGACAGTATGAGTTTAGACCTTATATACCTAATTTTTTCTAGAAGTCACCAAATACAGGAATATATTTTCAATATGTAAAAATCAGTGTTCTCCGAAAATGTGTAAACATAGTACATGCCTCTTAGTTCAACAGAGGTCTAGATGCAAATGAAACATTTAAAACATTATTTTCCAGTACACTTAGAGTTGGTATCAGGTGAATCAGTGCTATCTAGTGGCACCCAAATTGCTATAAATCAATGCAATTTTCATAACAGCATATGGCAAAGCTATGAATGTTTAACATGTTCAGCAAGTAATCTCATTGGAGTTCTTTTTAAAATTACATTTGCAGCTGAAGAGGGAATCAGGCCTAGTTCATAAGAGGGGCCAGCACTTAGCAAAATGAAAAATAAGCTTGAAAATTTTGCAAGTAGATAGTGCAAATATAGGATAGAGCTGCAGAACACATTTTATGATGGCGTTGTTCCACATTAATACTACTTAAATATTTTTTAAACAGATACATTTCAGCAATGGATATATCTACTATCACCATATGTCACAGATTCCAGCCTGAAATAATATAGTAATCTAACGTAAAACTCACAGGAATATAACATTTTTGGTAGTCATTGGAGAGGAAAATATAGGAACACATTTTTGCCAATTGTAGATACCAGTGGTCATTTTCTCATAGTCCTTTCATGAAAATAAGTTTTTAAAAAAGACTGAGAGAGAAGGCAGCTTTAAAAGAACAGTGAGCTTAAATGAGTAATGAGAAAGTTGTGTTAGTCATTTCTTGTCTTTATGGATAATCAGAAGAGCCAGCTATGATACCTCATTGACATCCTGAAGAAAATGCTTCAAATAAGAGAAACAGGAACTCAAGAGAGAATGTGCCCCTTACTCCATCAGTTTCAGAAGACATTATTTCAGTAGCTATTAACTTTCCCCACATTTGCTAAGACAGAATTCAAAGAAAAGGCAAATTACAGGGACTTGAGTTAACTGGTTCTACTGAAAACTACAGTTCCAGGAAATCAGTGTAAAACTCAGTTTAATGCAACAAACATATATTGTACAGCTACCATGTTGCAAATCACAGTACCTGTGGGTGTGCAGTTGGGGAACAAATGTGTAAAGATGCAGAAAGCATGGTATTAAAGGAGAGAATATTTACCTAGTTATCTTAATTCTAACAGACACAGGTGCTCTAGAGCAGAGGTTGGCAAACTACTCATGGGTCCAATCTTGCCTGCCAACTATTTTTGTAAATAAAGTTTTATTGTAATACAACCACACTCATTTATTCACATATTGTCTTTGACTGCTTTTGCACTGAACAGTAGAGTTGAATAGTTGCTACAGAAACCATATGGCCCACAAAGATTAAAATATTTACTGTCTGGCCCTCTATAGAAAATGTTTTCCAACCTCTGGTCTAGAGGAAGAAGAAATCACTAATCTACTTCTTCCTTTACACATTATGTGACATGTTTCCTTTTCTGTATTTGCCAATCAAATAGATACTCTCCAAGCTCTTTGGAAAGTCATAATACTTATTCATTCAGCAAATATTTATTGAGTGTCAGCTGTGTGCCAAGAACTTTCTAGGTGCATGGGACTCACGTCAGTGAACAAAATGAAGCAAAAATCTCTGATTTTTTTGTTGTAATTGGACAATATTCATGTTTTTGCTGTTGTTTTTCTAAACACAGAATTCATCAAACATTTAGTGGATTTCTAATGCAAATCAAGGCACTGTGCTAGGAGCTCAAGAGAATGGCACAATAAGAAAAAACATTACCAACCCTTAGGAATTTAAATCCTTCATACAAATTACTGTGGCACAAAAAAGAAAAGGGCTAAATGCTATAAAGATAGCCCCATAAAAGTGGCCCCAGTAAACTGCATTGGGGGTTCAGAGGAAAGAAAGATGCTCAAGAGTCTTTTGAAAAGAGGTTCGTACTGACAAGGCACAAGAAAACATTTATCCACATCTCAGTTTGGGAGAGGATCACTATTAGAATTTCAGTTGTAGATTCTTATTATATTCCTGTTGACAGACAAATAACTGTTGGAATAGCAGACTGTGTTGGCAGCTGGCTTCTCTTATGTTGTTGCTGTTGTAAGAAGGTAATGAAATATCCAACATGACCACACTGCTGGTGTAGGGAAGGGTTAGCAGGAAGTGGGCAAGTCAGGTTCTCTTTCAATCACTCCAAGCCTAGAGCCATCTCCTCTGTTTATTCCTGTGGCAATCACCAGAACAAAAAGGATCAGCTTTCTAGAAGCCTGTCAGGATTTTGAGCAGGACCATCATCCCCAATTGTGAGAGCATCAAATGTAATATTGTCAAGTTGACCAAGCTGACTGGACAAAGCCTCATCTAAAAGCTTATATTTAGAATTCATTTCAAAGCTGAATCTAACACAACATTTTCTCTGTCTTGGTAGACAAGAAAAGCATTTCATGGCCTCTCTTTCATCAAGCCTAATTGGGTTTCTGTAGGACATACAGGCTTCCTTCCTGGTTCAGCTGTTTCAAATAGAACAGAATGTTCAAAAGTCAGCCAGTAACACAGCATCACTAATTTGAATTCACAGAGGAGCATGGTTTTGTCCAAGACATCCCCATTTATTACCTTTATCCATACTAAATATATGGTTTTAATTAACATTGGAATTTTTTAGTAAAATTGCAGAAGGCATGTTTATTCTCCATTCTTCTTCCCCTTGAAAGAAAAGTCATGATTTTTAACTTGTAGTTGAAGAGGTAGTATACAGTTTCTTTTTAAACAAACATGTTTTATGGGATAAGATGAGGTAGGAGAGGAAGCATTAATAATGGCTTTCGGCAGAGTCCATGGAAGCAGAGTTTGCCAAAGCCCTGTCATATTTGTTCAGTGTAAGCACGTGTGTGATATAAGTACATTTTTTGTTCCTTGAACTCATTTCTCTCTCATTGAATCTTTGTGATTTGTTTATACCTTGCTCACAGCAATTAATGGCTGTTAGCACTTTCTCTCTCAAGTCAGCTATTTCTGTACATATCTTAAATCTTCTACAACAGTAGCTTCTAAAGCATGCTATGTATAATTCCTAGTACAATTCAAGATTGTAGGTGATGTATAAACATTTTTATTTTAATGACTATAAAAATATATCACTAATGGATTATTACATTGATTTTTACAGATATTGCTTAGGAATAGTAGTGGCAACCATGGGAGAATTTGAGAGAGCATTAACCCTACAATACTCCAGTTATCTCATTTATAACTACTCCATACTTTGATAAGAAGTCATATGTAAACTAATATGCAAATACAGCTCTGTGCTTCTCTCCATCCTTTAAGCCTCCCCTATACAGAGATTTAGAGTGCAAGGTTAACTTTTAAGTAAATGTAAGAGAAAACAGTAGTAAAAA